CGCTCTTCATCATTTTTAGCGTCGTCAAGCCCAAACTCCCCGAGTTCCGAGTCGACTCGGCCTCGCTCACCGTGCTCAACCTCAACAACACCGAACCCTACCTCACCGCCACGTGGAACGTCACCCTCGTCATCACAAACCCTAACCACAATCTCGCCATCGCCTACGACGCCGTTTCGGCCAGCGTGATGTACGGAAACGATGCCGTTCTCGCCCGCACTCTCCTCCAACCCTTTTTACAAAAATCCCGATCCGATACCGCGCTTCAAATTCATTGCGCGGTGGTCAACGAGTTTCTTCATGCCGGCTTGGCCGCGGGCCTTGCGTCGGACCGGGCCAATGGATCGGTCCAATTTGGGCTCGCGTTTTGGGCTTTGATCAGTTACAGGGCCGGTATCTTTCAGTCGAGTGATTACCGCTTGAAGGCTAACTGTAACGCTTTAAGGTTTGCATTTTCGCCCCAAGACGGAACCGGTGCTTTATTGAATAGTTTCCTCTGTTAGTGATGCACACAGTGTCTGGGTGCATCCATGTTTATCGATAAAAGTTACTCTTGAATAAACTTTGGGAGTTAAATATAGTTAATGTAGTTGTTTAACACCGTTTCCATGTATTAGATTCATTAGATCATTTGTACATTTCCGATGGGTGCATGCTTTGCCTTGCTTAATGCTTTGTCAATGTTTAATGTTAATCATGGGTTCTTTAATTTAACATTCGGTGTTTCTAACACTAGGAGTTTTTGTTATTCAATTTTTTTAAAAATTTCTTGCTGTTTATTCTCCATGTAATCTTAACGGAGAGAAACATGGTGAATCTGATATAAAAATTGTGTTTGGTGAGGAAATCAAGTGAATCAGGGACAAGTGATTGGATGAGGAGATCAACTAGGAATAAGTGTATCATGTAAAAGTATTTGTTTCTTGCGCAAATAATCTTATCATAAGCAAAGATGGTGAATCTGACATGAGTATTGTATTTGCTGGGCAACGATCAAGGACAAGTGAGGAAAGCAAAGAAAGCTTATTAGGAACAAATGTGGCTGGCATACGAAACCAATACTAGGAACAAGTGTGTCACACTTGAGATTATTTGTTTCCTGCCCCAAGTAATCTTATTAAAAGATGGTCAATTCGACTCAAATATTGTATTCGGTGGTGAAATGTCAAGGACAAGTGAAAAGCATGAAGGAAGAAGTCAACTAGGAACTAGTGTGTCCAAGGACGGAGCCAAGGGGGGACCTACGGGTGCCACGGCCCCCCCAACAATTTTAATTTTTTTTTATATACATATATATTACTATATGGCACTCCCTATTTTTAATATAAACTCATATTTTTAATATAAACTCATATGTATATTACTATATGGCACCCCCTATATGGCACCTCCAGTATTGAAATCTTGGCTCCGTCATTGTGTGTCTATGAAATCATCTAGGAACAAATGTGTTACGTAAGATTATTTGTTTCTTTCCTAAGTAATCTTATGAGAGACAAAGATGGTGAATTGGACACAATTGTTGTATTCAGTGGAAAAAGATAAAGGACAAGTGAGGAGCATCAAGGAAGAAAATAACAAGGAACAAGTGTGTCTTTGAAATACTGTGGTTAGAAACACAATCTTAGAATGATACGACCTTAGAATGAATATCGTGTCACAAAATCTTATACTATATATGTTTATGTTAGAAACACAAACATAGTATTTACACACGAAAAGATCGTTGCCTATTAATGAGCCATAAAAAAACATGCAATGAAGAAACTAAAACACACAAGGAAGAAAATGAGCACACAAAAAAATAATTGATTGAACAAATAAGATACTTAAGTATTAATAGGTCGATACTTATTAATGTGCAACAAACACGTACAAAAGGAAACAAATGAAAAAAAATTGACCGAAGTACCGAACAATGTAATACTAGAATATTGAGAAGGGTGGTGCCTGTTAATGTGAGAGGAAAAAAAACCAAAAAATAAAAATAAACACACAGAAATAAGTCGGTAATTATTAATGTGTAACAAACACGGGAGAAACAAATGAAGAAAATTGACGGAACAATAAGATACTAAACGAGATTATTTTGAAGGTTGGTGCCTATTAACGTGAGAATAGAAAATAAAAAAAATAAATAAACACACAAAAAGAAATAGGAGGTGTCACGCAATATGAAAAGGCTTATCCTATCTTTAAAACCAAATTAATAAAGATAAAATAATTATTTCGTAATTTAGAGACTTTGACTCTGCTAAGTGCAGTCTAAATCAGAAGAAAAATAATAGATGAAATGATAAAATAAAGTATATGGATCAAAATCATTATATTTCATTCTTATTTTTCGAAACCAAACAATAAAATAACATATATCATACACTTAACACGCGTCCATCCCTCATAAATCAAAACATAACTCGGATCTGTTAAATGTTTAAGGTTAATTTTTTCATGCAAAATAGGATAGATTTTGATTGATCGGATTATCATTCAATCTTTCTCCAAATTTTTTTAGTCCGTCAACAACCATTGTATATTATTTTTAAGAAATTGTAATTTTACAATAAATTATACAATGAATTCTTTTAGTCCACTCAGTCCATGAATTTTTTTTAATGTTTTAATTAGGTTTTCTTTTTTCTTTTTCTTTTTATATTTTACACAATCTAAGTAGTATTATCTCCACACTTTTTTTTTATATATGGAAACAAGGGATAATGTATTTTATATTATAAATTATTTATTATAAAAGGACCAAATTAAGAGGAAATTAATTGATTTTTTTACATATATTTCTATTTAACAATTGTTATTTCTTCTTTATAATTGTTTTTGTTAAAGATATTAAATGTGAATATTTTAGACTTAATATACTAGGACTAAATATTTATTAAATATACAAAAATCTTAAACATAAAAAACTATGGTTATAGGGAGTATCTTAATTTAATAAAAATTTGGTGAATTAAGTATTTCATTAATTCCCTTAAAAAAAGTATTTCATTAATATTAACTAGGGGTAGTTTTAAAGAAATAAATTTAAAACAAATTTAATGTTTTGGACTTAATTAAATAAATTCTTTAATATCATGATGAATTAGAAAAATAAGTTTTATAAATAAATAAAAAAAGATGAAATATCTTTTAAAGGATTTGAGTGTTGGATAAAATGTCAAATAACTAGATTCAAAAATATGCGACAAAACCAAAATCTAAAGGACAAAGTCAAAGCATAATTTTTCTTTTATAAATTATATTTATATGTGTCAAAATGAATTCAACTTATCTATATAGCTTAATTCACACAATTTGTCAATCTAATAAGCTGAATAACAAGTTGAGTTTGACTAACTCATCAAATTAACCTATTTTTTCTTATGACTTTTATTAGTTTATTGACATTAATTTATGATATTTTATTTATGATTTATTTTTTTATTAAAATTTATTTGTAATTGTACCGTTGGTGATGAACTTATTAAATATGTCTCATTGAACATTAGATCATTTAATTTGATATCAGTATCATGACATTTTCTTCTTCTTTTTTAATTATATTTGATCATAAATTTGAAGAAAATTTAAGACAAATAAAAATAAATTGAATTATAATTTTTAAATGAGATGGTGGATCAACTCAACCTAACTTGTTAACATGTTGTAGGTTGGATTAGATTAAAATATTTAACTCAATAAAAGAATTCAACTTAACTTAATTTCTCATAAATGTTCAGATGATATAAACTGTGCATTTCGATCTGCTTGAAATTTCCTCGGATATATATTTTTTTTCAGATGCATCAACCATAATGGGCTGGAAAAGCTTGAATGAATGCGCTTGCGTAGGTCAGAGATTACTCCCTCTCCAAACAGCATAAATGTTCAGTATAATAACCTCAATGTTCACGGAATCATGGGTAAAGGATACCGCTTTTTTCCTAATTTTGTATTTCAGGTGAAAGTAGCCTAAGATTACAGATATTTTGTTTGTTTGATCAACTAGGCTGAACATAGAAAAATTTTGCTCATGGGGCTCACAAGCTTCAGATAATCATGAGATTGGGCCTTATTTGAAGGGCTGGGATAGGGAAAAAGCCTGACTAAATCGTGTGGCCCGACAGGAATGTTTAACGCTAAGAGAAATGCTATATAACAATTAGTACACTATATAACACATTCTTTTAAATATTTTTTTTATTATTAACTTAAATTTTGGTATGTCCTATATTTATTTAATGATTTTTTTTCTTCTGATTTTGTAATTTTAAAAAATAAATAATAATAAATCATGTTAAAAAATATATAGTAATACTCATTTGGTTATCCGAGACTACACATGATAGTTTGGTACTTTGCTTAGAGTGAAATTCTGCACATGGACGACCGATGGTGCCGATTGGTTTTGTTTACTTTAGCTGAGGGTTTGAGTATCTCGAGTTCTAGATTTGCAAATTAAATCTTGCATCACTTTTTAGGCATATCCATGAACTGCTGCCACTATACATGCAAAATGTTTTCGCACCTCACATGAGATGTTGATGATGTGGAGTGGACCAGTGGAGAAAAAATGCACAATAATATAATGATCGTAATTTTTATAATTGGATGGATCAATAGGCTATTGTTAGATTGACTTGGGAAAGTCATGGTGTTGGATCAATAGATTATTACTTTTGTGGGTTAATTATATTTTTTTATGAAAAATATTTAAATGTTTAAATTGTATTATTCTCTTATTTAAAAAAAAAAAAAAAACAAGGAGCAACAAGTAATGTTGGTATTAATCACAAAATAACTGATATATATTGAATTAGTATTGTCATTGTACTGATATCTTTATAGAGTGTATGTTAAGGAAAAATAAAAAAGAAAAAAGATTGATGGTCATGCAAGAGAAACTATGCTTATCATAAAAAAGAAAACTTAAGTTGCATTTGATTGAATGAAATTAATAGTTTTTTTTTGAAAAATTGAAATGAAATTAATAGTTGAAATTATAGTTAAATGTATGCATATTATAATATGTTAAATTTAAATCGTTATTTGTAATAATTTAATTTTGATATTCTATAGTTTTTACACTGATTACCAATTAAAAATCATTTAAATGTAATACTTTAAGTAATTATTTTTTAAAATAATAATTTTTAATCATATCACAAGTTGTACGACAATTACAAATACTTTTATATATTCTAAGTAATTTTCAATTAAAATTCAATTTTAGAATCAATTATTATAACTTTTTTTACTTTACTTCATAGTATGGAAGAGCTAATCCTAAATTTAAAAGACTTACGTATCATTAATTAGTCTTAATTAGTGAATTTTATATTTGTATATAATATCTTAATGAATATGAAAAAAACATAATGGAATTGGCTTAGCGAGGGGTTTTCTTTGATAATAATATGGTTACTAAAAGGAAATTTTGTTTCATAATTTATATGAATATTCAATATAGTGAGGAGGGAGAATAATATAATAAGATGAAGTTCTATTTAGTTAATAATTTTGTTTAGGTCCACATAGTTTGAATATATTTGATAAAAATTTAGAGTGGTGTACGTATGTATCTTGTTTAGGGGGGTAAAGATGCTCTCACGGGATTGCTTACTCACCA